TCCCGTACAGCACGTAATAATCGAAAGAACGCCCAGACGGTTCCCCCAACAAGTCCACTTCACGAACTCCCTCTCGATGTAGTTGCATCAACAGAGTATTGTGCGATACTCCTCTCTTTCTTCTTTCTGCTTCCAGATCAATTTCCTCTTCGATGTCCGTCATACCATCATCCTCTTCACCATTGTAGGCCCCTCTAGAAGTTTGGCCTTCTTCATTCCATCACACACGCCTCTTCCTCGTTATCCTCCCTCCCTTATTCTTCTTTCTCTTTGTTCTTGAACTCATTGGCTAGTAAATAGTTATTAACCATGACAGGAGGTAACGTACCAAACTGAATAGTGAGGGGCTGATCTGGATCTTCTCCATCCCTTCTGCCTCGTTCAAACTTCGATTTCCCAGAAGAACTCTCTGGCAATTCTTCCATCGATTCACCTGTACCGGTCTCCTCACTGTCTTCAAGAACATTTTGATTGGCCACCTCGAGTAGTTTAGGCACCTTAGGACTTGACATTCCCTGTTGTTGCCTCATCATTCGTCCATAATTCCGTTGAAAACGCTTTTGTTGTGTTCTAGTCATCTCGTTGAAGGGTATCACCCTTCCTGCATTATACTGGAAGGAATGCGATACATTTGGTTGGCGAGGTTGTGGCCTAAATGTTCTCCCATTATTTATTGACCTGAACTGCCTTTCGAAAGGCGGTCCCCTATAGAATGATGTACCTCGCCCTCTACCAGGTTGAGCGTTTGGGAAAAACTAGGGCGATGGTGATGCTGCCATATCGCTGGTTTCTCCGTATTTGCACTCACTTCTCTTTTATATCTTGTACACAAGATGTCTTCGTCCTTTTCAGACTCCTTCCATTTGATACGTTCAAAGACACTGGGGTGTGGCCCAGAATCCTCTTCTCCGTCATCTATAACCAACTTGAATTTTGGCAACTTGTTTTTGAAACCAGTCGTCACCATGTTCACCCCAAGTGGCTGTGGAAAAGGGTTTTCATCCACTGCCATCTTCTTCTTATCCTTGAATGTAATTCGTCCTGATTCAATGGCATCCTGTAACACATGGCGAAAAACCAAACAGTTGTTAGTCAAATGCGACCGTGCATTATGCCACTTATAATATTTTTTACCCTTAATTTGTTCAGAGCTTGGCAATTTATGTTTATCGCTCAACTTTATTTGCTTATCCTTATATAATTTATCAAATATAAGGTCAGCTTTGGTTACATCGAACGAGAACGTTCTAGCCTTTTTGTTTTCATCTTTTATAGGCTCATCCTTGCCCGATGATCTAGGCTTAACCATTATAGGACAAGTATACGCGTCTCCTTTGATTAATTCGGCCAAGCACATTTCAGTTTGATTGTAATACTCGTCATTAATGGTATGAACATCAAAATTTGGGTATCTATAATAAATCCCCTTGCTAGAATTTTTCATTTGCTCTTCTTCTCTTATTAATCGTTCATACCTAATCATGTTTGCGCTCAATTGGAAAATATCAGGAAATTTCCTGTCTTGGAATTTCTTTTTCAAATCAAAGTTTAAACAACTTTGAGCGATTTTGACAAAATCCTTTTCTGGCAAAGGTACAAAACATTTACTTCTTGCTGTCTTGAATCTTTAAAGGAAACCTTCTGCCCATTCGTTTGACATTTGACGTAGATTTGCCAAATCGACCAACGTAACTTCGGACTCAGTCTTATAAAACTGAGCATGGAACAATTGCTCCAATTGTTGCCATGTTTGAACAGAGTTAGCTGGCAAATTGATGAACCAAGAGAAGGCTACTCTTGTTAATGAATTAGGGAACAACCTCATTTTATGGTAGTCGGTTACTTCACCACTTTGCAGTGTGAATTGCCCTATGTGTTTTAGAGTAGACACCTCTCTTAAACCAATAAATAATGAGAATTCTGGCACTTTATACCCTCTAGGCCATGGATATGCTTCATCTACCCAATCAGGGTATGGCTTTGTGTAAGTCGGCCTAATAACAGGACGTACCCCAAAAGCCATTTGATCCCGTACTATTTCCATAATTTGATTTCTCAACATGACGTTGAGGTTATATGGAATTCCTACAGGTTGGTTGGTCGGTTGATTTGCCTGAGGCCTGATGCTTGGTCCTTGGTTGGCAACAAAGTTTCCATGATTTGGGCCATTGTTACCATTAGCCTGAATATTTATTTCATCATTGACATGCAAGGTATTCTGTCCATTATTTAGGACATTGTCTCTTATATTTAGGTTACCCCCCAAGTTAAATGTACCATTACCACTATTCTGATTTGGCATTACACTATCCTCCTAGTTTGAAGTAGGTGGACCAAAAGGTGGTTCTATCCCCTGATTTGAACTTAGGACTGGGGAATTATGTCTCACGATTGTCCTAGTTTGAAAGTGATTTGCAACTGGCTGACAAATTTGGTCTACTAACTTATTCATTATTTCATTTAAGGTATTCAGTTGTTTGGCCATGTTGTCATAATGTGCATTCCCATTCTGGGTAAATCTTTCCATATTATGAACATTTCGCAGATTTACCTGTTCAACGACATCCTGTGTGAGTTCTCCCAGCAATGGACGCATGGTGTGAGGACTCAACTCTGTCATTGGTTCGTAACGACTATGCCTGCTCTGACTCTGTCCCTCTGTTCGTGGAGAGCTTTGCTGCTCCTCATATCGCTCGATCACAGACTGGACTCCTCCCTGACTTGCTGCTTCCTTACCGGATTTGTGAAGCATATTGTTTCACCTTTTGTATCTTCAACACCAAACACCAAGGTCCCACTGGGCGTGCCAAATTGTTTTGCGCGGGTAGTCGCTAACAATTAAAAAGGAATCAGACGATTGTGTAAGGAACAGACCTCTTGAGACAAAGTCCCAAAAAGGGGTATTTTATTGGCGATGATTTACAATTGGAACTAAACAGAATGTTTTCAAGGGGCGCAAGCACACAAGTACTAAAAGAAGTGTTTAAATTTAAACTAAGAAATTGAAATTACATATTCTCTATTTGAGAGTATTTGATTCATGGTCTTTTTCTCTATGTCTTCTCTTCTTTTTATATTCCTTTGATGATTTTTTCGTGACAAACCGTTTGGAATCTGCTTGATTGCTGTATAACTACCCATTTTCTTTATGGTGGCTAACTTGTCGTGGAACTGCCGTATCTAACTGTTGCCTTTACTCTCTGTCGTTCAACCGCCTTCAACTGGGCTCCTTGAATCGTGAGATATGATAAGATCACTCAATAACTGCTTCAATAACTGCTATTCTGGATAACCATAATATTTTATACTTGCTAAGATCCTGGGCGATTCGAAGGTTTGGACGAGAATGGGGTCATTGCTCTGAGTGACCGTAAGATATTCTATTCACTCAGATTCTGGGCGTCTTGCAAACTTGGGTGATGATGTTACCGTGTTCGTGGGCTTCCATCGCATTCATCAATAATCCTGTTTGGACCTTTATCCTTTATCCTGGATTCCCCAATTGGGTTTCACTCTTTGGGCTATTTGATTTGGGCTGCACTTTTAGTGAATCAACAGGGTGCAAGATCGAAACCTCTCCAAACGAAGGCGGGAGAGGCTCTGATCTTACGCATTCAGGCGCTGAAGTCAGTGAAAAAAGATAGCAAAATATATTGGGTGTTGAGGTGACACGAACAGAGAAGAAAAAGGGTGTCGGGGTTTATATTTTCAAAGTGAGAATACCAAATTTTTTATAACCTTCAAATGTCAACAAGCGTGAACATTTATAGGCAAAAGAAATGATCTTAAAATACCTTAAGCGCTTGGCACATGACTTCATCCTAACGACTCATATGTCAAATGCCAAATGAGACGAATAAATATAAAGACAAAGGAAAAAAATCACTGTTTTTGGAAACGATTGTTTCTTTCAAGGATAAATACGTCCATTAATCCTTGAGCAAAGTGTTTGATAAAATGATGAGATTGGACTCTAGTATGAACATATTTTAGCTTTTATCTCTTATTAAATATTGTCTAGTACTCTATACCAAATGTGCACTAGAGGGTTTACAATTAAGTACTCAGTTCAAGTCCTTTAGTAAATAGTACATTAGACAAATCATAGACTGCTAAGTATGAGTGATCAAAGACTTGTATTATTGGAATTTTCTTTCTAATGCTTTTTGGCAGATTGATAATTTCAGTCTAAAGGACCTGAACCATCACAATCCTGTGGTTCTCACTTGGCTGGTGTTCACGGACAAAGAGAAGAAGGAATCCACTACTATGGGGAATGGTTCTCATTTTGTCGGTGTCCATGTACGAAGAGAAGAAATTCACTACTATGGGGAATACTATAAAAGAGGAACAAATTAATCAAATGCAATTCTAACCATGCGCGAGACTATACAAAATGGCCACATTACATCTAGATAGACCATTCATGTTCCAAGAAGGTATAAACATCTAGCTAACAGAAGTTGGCAGAATTCGAAAACCATTTACACCATAATATTAATTACCTATTACATGACACAATAATGAACATGATTTTAGCTTCTTTTTTGTTTTTAATACTTGCTACTAGTGTTGTATAATCCACTTTACTGAAACAAGTCGTAACTCATAAGTATAATGCCAAGATGGGGAAAATGGAATTCAATCTAGTGGGCTTTTCCATTTTGCCATCTTTGCCTTAGTGTTCAATTTTTAAACTATATTAAGAGCGAGTTATCATTACAAAACTATGCCAGGATGTGAATCAACACCTTATTTGCCTGTTAATTTATCTTTGAGATGAAAATTGTGTACAAATGAAAAGGCAATCAAGTTTGGGTAAACGTTTTTAAATGTACTTAAAATAAAGGTACATAATATCTTTGAACGCCCTATGTATCAGGAAAAAAGCACGAGTTAAAAGCCATGTACACAATGACCACCCAACTGCTAGATTCCGTAAATAGAATAATCATAAATAATAACTGCATTTTTTATGTTAATTCAGCAAGGATGCTAACCTTGATAAGAAGCTGCTGAAAACCAATCCAGAAAATGAAACCCAACATGTTAGTTATTCACAATGAAACTGCTCTCTTCTGCCGATGAATTTCTAAGCTAGCTAAATTGATTTCCATACTGCTAAAATGTAGAAGGAAGCTTTCAGTGTTAACCTAACAAAAAGAGAGTGGCTAAAATCATGCTGGATTTTATTTGAGCTCAATTCAACTGAAGTCTGGGTGAGCATTCGTTATGGTTCACATGGAGAAATTCAGGTCTCTCATCATCATTTACTCTGGGGAGTCAGCTCAGTGAACATTTTCCAGCCATTGTGCTCTTCTGCAGAATTCCCGCTCATCATTATTTTTACCTCAATAAGTCAATATCATGCCTCTTCAGAGAAGTAACTCAGCGCATCTCTCAAATTTAGATCCTCAAAGCAAGGTGCCCAATTAAATAATCCAAAACCAGGTCAAAATAAAGGACAGAAAGATATTTGACTGAGACATCCAGTTAAAGTTGGGAGCAAGTCATCAGGCATCATTTTATTCTTGACTTGATAAAGCAATCACATTCGGATAAGCTGTTACAGAATCTATCTAGGGGTGTGGATGTCTGTGTTCACCAATAATCACCACATGAGCAAATCCCATTTTCATAATGATGATAACGGTTTGAATCCCTTAATGCAATTTTACGTTCAGTAATCTTGGACATGAACTTGATAGCAATGTGGCAATCTTCACAGACACGTAGATTTTTAGTAACTCTGATTTGTGCCCCTGGTTCAGTATTAATAATAGCAAATACAATGGCCAACTTCTCACTGTGCACTGCTAGGTGGTTTTCTTTATCTTCTTCCTCCACATCATGCAATGTAGTGTCGGTTTTTGGGATATAGCCTGCCTCTTTCATCTTCCCTACCAAGACATCTAACTCTTCATAGATCTTCATAGATTGTGGATGCCATCGATCACCAGCAAGGAAGGTATGGACCTGATTATGGAGCTCAACATTACTAACACCAGGTACTTTCTTGATTCCTCTCCCTTTCATGATTGACCGAATTGATGCCACATCTTTCCATCTCCCAGCCTTTGCATATATGTTCGATAACAGGACATAATAACCAGACTGCTCTGGAGCCAATTGAAAAAGATGATCTGCAGCTACAATCCCAATATCCATGTTATTATAAACATGGCAAGCATTCAAAAGAGCTCCCCAAACCCTATCATTAGGCTCCATTGGCATCTGACTGATAAAATTGTAGGCCTCTTCTACTTGACCAGCACGTCCAAGTAGATCAACCATGCAAGCACAGTGTTCTAACCTAGGAACTATTTTATACTCGTCAGTCATCAATCTGTAATATTGTCGGCCTTCAGATAATAATCCTGCATGGCTGCAAGCTGAAAGAACTGAAACAAAAGCTATTGAATCAGGAATAAGATCCAAATCCTGAAAATTAGCAAATAACTCAATAGCTCTGTGACCTTCCCCACTCCTACCATAGGCAGACATCAGTGAAGTCCACGAGACAACATCCCTTAACTGCATTCCATCAAACACTTCCCTAGCTTCTGATAAACATCCACACTTGGCATACATATCGATTAAGGCATTCTCTACAGACAGGTTAGGCCGGAGCCCCTTTGTTTCAACGAATTCATGAACCCGCATCCCCAGTGATACAGCTGAAAGATCCCCACAAGCTGGAAGAACACTAGCAATAGTAATTGCATCCGGTTCCAACCGTTGAGCTTCCATCTGCAAATAAAGCTCAACTGCCTCTCTGGGCATAGAATTATTGCTATACACTGCTATCATTACATTCCATGCAACCAATTCCTCTCGAGCCACGCTCATGAACATTTCCTTCACAAACATAACATTTTCTTTAGAAGTATTAGTTACAGCTGGAGATAGGCTAGCCATTGTGCCAGAATCAGGTTTCACGCCTAATAACCCCATTTCTTTGCAAACCTCTAACGCATCATCAAACCTTCCATTCTGGGCATACCCTGCCACCATAGAATTCCAAGAAACAATGTCCCTATAAGGCATTGCATCAAGAACATGTCTTGCATCGACCAAAAACCCACATTTCCCATACATGGCAATCAGCCCATTCCCTGTAAACAGAGTCAAGTCCAGACCCTTTTTCACAGCCGGGCTATGAATTTGCACCCCGACCAACAAATTATTCAACGAAGAACAAGCTTTTAACATACACGGTAATGTATAATGATCTGGAACCACACCACAAAACAGCATGCTCTTATACATAAAAATCGCATCTTTATAAAACTGATTATTCACATAACTTCTAATCATTACATTAAAAATAACATTGTTTCTCTCAGGAATTTTGTCGAATATATTCCGAGTTATACTGGGTTTGCCACACGCAGCATAAGCTCTCATTAATTTGATGGCCAGGGATGTATTCGAGTATAAAATTGGGTCGGAAATAATCTTGGAATGGATTATTTTGAGGGTTTTGACATCTGGGCCTTTGTCCAATACAAGGTTCAAGAAATCCTCGGTTCTGTGTTGGATGGTTTGTCTTTTTTGAATGGCAGTTGAGAAATGGAGGGAAAAATGAACTGGTCTATGCATAGGTTTCATCGGTTGTACCATCTGGGATTGAAAACCTATTTATTTATATATTTTGGTAGCAAAATTGGTGACTGCAAATTATTTCAAAATAGTCAATAGCAACAGTTCATCATAAATAAATGTCTGAAGACACTAAAAGTGATAGATTTTCATATTAACATACAAATTGTAAAATATTTGTATATTATGATATGAAAACCTATGAATGCAAAACAAAGCTGTTTGGGACCATATTGAAATTGGACAATTACTCGTTCATGTAGAGAAAAAAGTTTCATTTGTTTTATTAAAAATACGACTTTATTTCACTCGTCTAGATTTGACAATCTCAAATATAATTGTTCATAGCGAAATATAGTAGCACTATCCTCTTTCATGTAATTTAATTGATTGGTGTTACTTTCCTCACATGCTGACAATTGAGTGATATACCTCAATTTTATTCAACTAGTTAGCTCAACTTTAATCTAATTTCAATTAAGGTAACTAAGTTCAATTTTAATTACGAGAATTGATGATGCGACATTCAATAAATGATATAATTATTCACACTTAATTGTAAGTTGCTAACGTAGAATAAGTATAACTTTATTGAAATAAATTACTTTAATCAAATATTGACACTCGTTATCAATTTTCGTCATTTCAAGTGAAAGAATTGGATGGAGTTATTCAGTTGAAATCAAATTAAACTACAACTATCCAATTGAACAAAATTGAAGTATAATTACCTAATTGATATCATATGAAAGTATAGTTACTGTGAATGAAATTTTTCCATATAAATCTTATCATACGACCACTTGGTCATCTCATGTAAAAAGGACTTCAAGCACAACAAGAAGGTGAAAGTACGGGTTTGGGATGCTAAACACTACTTCAACTTTTAAGATTACTAAGTTTACGTTCCAGACAATTTATTAATTCAACCTTATATGCGAAATTGACTAATTAAATTAACAAGTCACTTTTAATTAGTTTTCTAGATGATTAGACATACAAGTCCATTTTTCCTATGTTTGAATGTCACAATTGTAGTAATATGAAAAATAGTAAACAACGCACAATTTGTTGATGGAGAAACCCAATATGGGAAAAACTCTGGGATCAAGCCAGTTACCTCCACTATAGTCAATTAGGGTTGTAGTACGATTCTAGACTAGCAACTCCCTCTAGTTCTAGCTGTTGTAATTCCGGTAAACTCTAGGATACATTGTCAATCTTTCAATCTCACGAACTACTATCGTAGATACTATCTAACCACTCCACTAGACTTTTCCGATCTATCTTCTGTAGCCCACAAGATCTGTTGTCTTTTTCTAACCTCCTGATCTTAAGTTGATTGCCTTTTCCTAATGGAATTCCTAAGAACCTCTTGTTTTGGTGCTTTTCCTACGCTTGAAGTCCACCTTTCTCAATCCCCAATGAGAGAGTCCATTACTCAATGAATTAAGGAAGTCGGGTGTTTTGGATTACAAAGATGTGATGTTTTCACAAAATTAGGTTGTCAGATCTCAAGAATGGATGATTGATTCCACCAGTTGAATTGTATTCTTGGATCTCTCAAAGACAATATGAAAGTATTTCTCAATGATAGCACAATGTAGCAACCTTAAGAAAAATCGTCCATGACTTCTGTATTTATAGTTGGGGGTGAATAAGTGTCATTGACTGTATAAAACTTTTCAAATTGCGACCTAAGGTTTGGCCGAATACAGTTGTCGCTCGAGCTAGTAGCTAGTGACAGTTGAACAGTTATCAGTATTTTTATCATAACTTTCTCTTTCGATTTTTGATTGAGGTGATTCAAAATGCTTTGGAAAGCTAACTCAAAGGGCTACAAATCTTCTTGATAGCATTGTCTAAATTCCAATGTTTTTTAATGCGAAAAATGCATTTCAAGTTACGACTGAGAATTGGTACATAACTTGTGCGGCTTTTTAATATCCTTTAGACTTCTAATTACATTCCAACGATCATATGTGATCTTCTTAGACATCTTGGATTCCTTCAAGGATTGTACTACCAACTCCAAAAGATTTTTTGACTTTTACAACTTTTTTACATTAATTCATTTGTCTAAAAAATTGTCAATACACTAGAAACCTAAAACAAGGTATGAAAATTCGTCCTCATTTTACTTACTGATCAAGTGAAACTCGCAAACGTACGGAATCGTTAACAAGTAATGAATGTGATGAAAATAAATATCATTTCACAGGGAATAAATTTCAATTTAAGAGTACTAATTTTGTATAGAATTTGAAATTTGTAACATAAAAGAGTTTTGGTTTGTAATTATGTTAAATTAATCTAAGAAATATGTAAAAATTATTATTCGTATCAAATTATGGATGATTGTATTGCATTTTGAATTCGCCTATTGTTTTTACTTCAATTTCTCAATTATATAATTTAGTCTTATTCATACATTTTTAATAATTGATAAAACTATGATTTGTATAATTATATGCTAATCACGATTCGATCTTATTCCTAACTCAAAGCATTAAATTATAAGATTACCTATATGAATGCACACGTGGTATTATTATTCCTAGTATCTATTGCCAATGTATTAACCATGCCGCATTCTAAACTTTTTGTGAACTTTTTATTATTACAACAAGCAACTAATTATTTAATTGTTAGTTACACAATTAAATAATGCAATAGAAATGCAAAATTAATAAAAAAAATATGCAAGAATTGACTAGTCTTAAATTAAAATAAATAAACAATAAGTTTCATCTCATTCAAAAAAAAAAAAAAAAAAAAGGTGGATCTAGCCTTGAATGTTTTTATATAAATTACAACAAAAATAATGAAAAATCATCACCCGAATCATGAAAGAATGCAAAAGATATTGATCTTCAATTTTAAGGTTGAAATCTTTAATTTTTTGATGTAATTGGCCTCCAATTTTTGCTAGATTTTGGTACTCTCCCAAAAGTTGTGATTGCCTTTTGTTTTTGATGAAGTTGATGATATGAATGTCTATTGAAGGGCTAGAGAGATTTCCATAATAGTTGCCCTTGTTTTGTATTTATAGGAGCAAAAATTCAAGTCAAAATCACGTCACAATTCATTCCACGAAGAATTTGAAGTAAACTAGGAAATTGCAACAAGGTCCCATGAAAATATCATCGCGTGCTCACTGGGTCTCGCCTTGGCTCACGAGTTCCCGTAAATAGTGTCCCGCACACTGGCTTGTGCATCACACTTTCCATATCAGCCTTCCGTTTTCTCCTTTTTGGTCCCCTTTTTTGGATAATGTGATTCTTGAGTCCTTTATCCATTCATTTTTAGTCCTTTGATTTTCCAATGCATCCAATTGCATCCTCAAACTCTCTAATTGTCATCATGTCGCCCGAATCATCTTCTGGATTTGTATAATTAAGTCCTTGAACTATTGATTTCTTTTATTTCAGCTAATTTTTCGCTCTTTTGTTCAATTCTATCAATTTGACTCGAGTCTTGCTTAACAAACATAAGTAACACATAATTAAACTATAATTAATTCAAATCAAGACAACAATACTCTAGTTTAATAGCCTAGATAAATATACAAAATATATTTTTTTCTTTACAATCAGACAACCCCTATTTTTATGAATTGATCATCGGAGGGGCTTTTGAAACATTCATTGTCATTTTATTTTTGTAGCCACAATTTATGAGAGCACTTTGGACAATAACATTGGAGGAGCAAGAGACGAACTTCTCATTCAATACTATCTTCTGTGGTAGACAAACTTCACCATTCCAGCAAGATTTTCTTTGTGAACGTGTTAAGAGAGTCATACTTAATGCAAATTTTCTGCTCGTTCTACGGCATCCACGAAGGAAGTAAAAAGCATGTAATCAAGTGTTATCAAAATTAGGGAGCTTCATGCTATAAGCTAACAATTTTTTCTCTTTATTGTGATAAAGTCTGAAGAAAAGGAAAAACTGGAGTTTCTCAATACATGAAATGAACAGGAACATAGTACAGAGGCTACCTAGTTTAACACTTCTACGTTCTAAAAAATTAAAAATAAGTACATGTGCAATTTTACCTTGTCATCATAGAACAGTTGAAGTATATAGTATTAAATGCTTAATGTCTGACTCTTTTCTGATTCTGCTTTCCAATATTTTTCCTCTAATAATGCCATACAAGAACTAATGTTATTACAGCAATATCCATTGAAATGCACGTGCGTGCTATCTACTGGACTTTTCATTCATCTTGCAACAAAGCTTTAGAAACAGAATGAGAAGACCTTTGTGATCTGTCTCCCTTGTTCCATGTCATTGGAGATAGGGGTGAACGCGGTTCGATTTGGACGATTTGTGATATATTTTCAACTCAAACTATTTTATGCGATTTAAATTTTTTTTTTAAAACCAAACTAAACCATTTTATTTTTTGAACCAAACAAAACCAAACCATAATTTGCGGTTTGATTCGGTTTTAATCCGCGGTTTACCTTTCGACATTATAATAATGTATTTAACATAAGTTAAATATAAGTTTAAACGA